GGGCCCCTCGGCAGCGTGCGCCCCTCACCTTGTCCAGCCGCCACTCCTCCGGGTCCCGCCTCTCTGCTGCCATCGCCTCGCAGCGGCACAGCAGCCTCACCAGGTTGAGCTCCAGCCTCGACGCAGCCATCGTCAGCGCCGGCCCCCTGCCCCTTCCGGCGGCGCCATGCTGGGGGCGGAAGTGGCTGCCTCCGGCCACCTTCCGGGCGGCGCCTGCCTTCTTCCCGGTTCTCTGGCCCGTCTTTGGGGCGGAAGTAGCGTCTTATTTCGAGAGGCACGATTCCGGCCATATTTATTGGGGGCAAGATCGCTTACTTTTCCTGCGAGAGTTTTACACCCTCCAGGAGTCTTCGGAGGAACCAGGTCTTTTGATGACCGACTTGCAGCGCTCCTTCCTGTTGTTCCATTCTGCATGTTCAGAATGCCCGGATCCTTCAAGCTATTCCCCGATCTCCTTGAGGAAAGAAACTTGGCCTGGGCTTCAGTATCCTCCACCTTCATTGTGGGTCGCAGGGGCTGGAGAATGCTTCAAGAACGGTGTGCACGACCCTCTAGGTCTCAGCCTTGTCGCTACCCTCAGCCGTGGTCTTGGCCAAGTCTAGCTTTTCTGGGCCTGTTTTCTGAGAAGTGGGCAGTGTGATGATGCGTGTCTCAAGGGGTCATAGCCTTGGGAGAGCCTGCTCATCCCCAAATTACTAGAACCCTATGGACAGGAGCCCGTCTCAGGCTGCCAGGAATCTAGGGTGCCTCTGGGGCAGCAGAGCCTGGCCCACTGCTGCCGCCTCACCTTAGGGCCGCCGGGGAGCCCCAGGGTGCCTGACCAAGGGTTGTCCCCGGGTCCGCACCAGAGAAGCCAAAAGCCTGGGACTGTAAGCTAAGGGGCTTTCAGAGCAGATCCTCCAGAGCCTGGGTCCCAGCCTGCCCCTTCTCAGATGTAACCTTGGAGGCTCCGGCCCCACCTGTTCCCCCATCGAGGGGTGCTGCTGGCCAAGGCCATCTGCAGGGTGGTGCTCCCGGTCCTCCAGGACAGGAAGCAGCTCCTCCCTCCACAGTGGGACTGACCCTTGCCCCTGACACAGCCTGAGTATCTCATCTCCAAACTGCTTGGAACCGGAAGTGCTTTGGAATATATACCTATAGAACAAGGCGTCTTAGAGATTGCACCCAAGTGTAAACATAACACTCATTTACCTTTTGGGGGGCACTGAGGCTTAAACCCAGGGCCTACAGAGTTGTATCCTTAGCTGTTTTTTTGAGACAAGATCTGGAGTTTCACCAGATGGCCTTAAACTGGGATTTTCATAGCTCAGTGTCCCAGGGTACTTGGCTGACAGGAGTGCCCTCACACGTGGCTCCCTTGGGTAAGGTGCATGTTCGCATTATAAACATAAACCTGTCTTTTGTGCTGGCATAGAACCCAGGGCTTGAGGCCAAGCACGTGTTGTGTTCCTGCTGTACAGGCCTCCCTCCCCTGAGTAAACTGCTATCTTGCTAGGGGCAGATTCTGACTTTGACCCTCATGTGATGTTAGGGATGAATTCTGCACCCGTGTGCACTGGTGCTCAAACTCTGGAGCGTTTCTGGTTCCGGGTGAGGGGTGCACAACCTGTGTTCACACTGCAAGACTCTTGTCCCCACCCCCATTTAAGCCCTGGTCCATGCCTTGAAGGGTCTGCATCACATCCAGACAGCAGCGATGCCCTGTGGCACAGGTGTAAATCCCATACAGAGGTGTCACAGGCACTTTTCCTTTATTCCACCCGTGGGGCAGACAGGCACCCAAGGCCTGGCATTAGCCTTGGAGCCTGGTGTCAGAGAGCTTTGGAGCCTGACAGGCACGCAGACCACAGCTGTGAGTCTGCAGGAATGGGCAGCTTGAGGCTGGAGCATGGTCCTGAGTCAGTGTTGGTCTCTTCCAGCCCCTGGCACCATAACACAAGGGACAGAAGTGTGATGATGCATTCTGGTGCCCCTGGGGTGCAGATGTGTCCTGCTGCAGGCAACGCCACACGAGCTCGCATCTTGTGACCCCGCACAGGGCTCCGACGCTTCCTGGAATGTACCTTGGGCAGTGGCCATCCCTAGCAAATGGGAGTCCCATATCGCAGACAGAAAAGGGTGGTGAGGTGCCCAGGAGTGCACTGCTCCTGTGCTGTACAGGGGACTTGTGGCCACTCCTAGGGGACCACAGTGTGACCACCGCCATAGTCTCTGCTCTGCCTAGGCCCAGGTTACAGGACGGACACAGTGTTAATAGCAAAGTCCGAACATACAGTATGAAACAATTTGGTCTCCCAATAAGCTGTTACAGTTTCGAGTTATGTAAACCATGTACAAAGTTATAAAAACGTACAAAACAGGCGGGGAGGTGAGGCCACTGCTGGGACTTGGTGGCCCGGATGTGCATCAGTGACTGGAGGATCCAGAGGTGACGGTGGCCAGCCCCAGTGGCCTTCCTAGCCTGGACCCTGGCCAGGGCAGCACTCTTAAGCCGTTACTCTGGAGCTTCCAATCTGGATCCTTCCTGGAGCCACTGCAGCTGCTGGCCAGCTGCTGGCGGTGTTCTCGACGTGACTGTCTCAGGCCTCAGCTGGGGGCCTGGCCCGGGGCGGGGGGCAGGCAGTAGGTGGGAGGGTCTGAGTACCTGCGCTTGGCCCCCAGTGGCCGAGCATCTTCATCCAGGGGTGCAAGGGCTCCAAGTGTGGGCAGCCCCAGGCTGGGCGCGATGTACATGGAGCGCACCTGGTCGGGGCGGCGGGCTGGCGGCTCCCGGCGCCTCACAGGTCCTGTGGACTCCCGGTTGGGCAGGTGAGAGGGGAGGCCAGGCGGGAGCTTGATGTTGGCTGTGGGCATGACAGGTGTCCTCCGCGGAGTCTTCACTCTAACCATGGCGAAGGACGCTGGCCGATGCCTCAGAGGCACCATCGCGGGGAGGGGGCTTGGGGCGGGCGCAGTGGGATGGGGGGGCGCAGGCGCGGGGGGCCCTTGGAGAGACAGACGTGGGTCACTGCTGCTCCAGCGTGGGGACCCTGCCCACCCGGGCAGCAGCAGAGCGGACTCTATCTTAATACTGACCTTCCGCAGCCCCCCGCCCAGCCCGCTCCTCCAGCAGGCTCTCGGTGCTGGCTGACGTTTCTGAGTCCAGGTTCTCCTCATCTGAGCCCCTGGGCTCCAGCTCAGGCAGCCGGTAGGTGATGTCCTCCCTGGGGAGCAATGTCTTGTGTCCAGCGCCACCCACAGAGGCCACCATATGGAAGCCAATAGAGGCAGAGCAGGCTGTCCTGTCCCTAGCCTGCCCCATCTCGAGCACACAGCCCTGAATTGCCTGGGCCCTTGCCACTCACCCGGGAAGAGCTACGCAGCAGAGGTAAGCCCTCCCATGCATCCGACCCACACTGAGCCAGCAGGGCACTCCTGCCTCAGCCCAGGGCCTCCTCCCAGTCCTGGCGCCCGAATGGGCCAAGTAACTGGGCCACATCTGTTCTCCTGGCATGAACTTCTACTATTTCTTGGGACAGGGTGCTGTGTTGCTAACTGTTCTCCAATTCCTGGGCTCCTGTGATCATCCTGCCTCTGCCTCCAAGTAGTGAGCAGGAAGGACAACAGGCATGCTCTTTTGCAGTTCTGGGGACCGACCCAGGGCCATGCTGTACCCATGAGTCCTCACCTCCCAGCATACCCCAGCTCTGCACCCCTCCAACCTCCAGTGCACACGTGTGCCCAGCGTTAGGGAAAGGCTGGGGCGCTGCTTGAGCCCACGGCACTGGCTCATGGGTGAAGCTCAGGACACATGTCCCGGAAGGACAGGCCTTTCCCATGCTAGGGATGGCGGCCTGCCTGGCCTGGCTGGGTAGCAGGGGCAAGGGGTCCGGGGCCCGGAAGACACTTGCTTTTCCTCCTTGAGGGACTGGATGCGCTCCATGAGCATCTCCTTCTCCTGGTCCTCGCCGTCAGTGGCACTGGTGGCCTCCTCCTCAGCAAGTACTTCCAGCTCCTCCAGGCTGCCGTCGCGGCTCACAGGAGTCTTGGGGCTCTTGCTCTGCAGGACAGGTGGAAGGTATGAGGCTTGGGACCAGGGCAGGGAGGGCTGGCAGTGACGGGAGATGCAAGGACCCCCAGGAGCCGGCTGCAGGAGTCCACGGGCTCCACGGCCAGGCACAACCAGCATGCACGAGGGGAGGCGGGCCGGGCTGTCACCCCGAGGACCGGCATGCACTGTGGCCACCGCACACTACCTACCGGCACCCCCTCACAGGGAGACGAGAACCCCAGTTTGAAAGGCCAGGGCTGGGGAGAGAGGGGCACAGGATGAACAATGGGGAATGGGTGGGGGCTCCCACTGGTCCGCACCCGTGAGACTCGGGGAGAGCCAACCAGGAACTGAGCTTGGGGTGAGAACTTCACCTGTCTGGGGGCCTGGAGAACCAGGAAGGGGGGGGCGGCCCCGCCCCCACACGACCACACCCACCACCAAGCCCGCCCGGGCGCACCACACTCTGCTGCAGAAGAGAAAGCCTATGGCACGCGATGCTCTCCTCCGCCTCCAGCTGGCTGATCTCCTCCATCTTCACCCTGTACTTCCGCATCTGCTCCTTGATCAGCATCTCCACGCACCTGTAGGGCCCAGGGAGGCAGCTCCGTTAGGACAGCGGGGACGCCCTGTGTCCCGGAGCGCTGCCCTTTTGGGCTGCAGCCCCGGCAGCTCCGGGTCCTCTCTGCATTCAGGGCTGCCTGAGAAGGTCTCATCCCGGGTAGTAAGTACTGGGGGCCTCAGGCTGGCGAGAGAGCTGGGTTCCTGCTATCATGTTAGCACTCCTACCATCAGGAAGAATAGAGTAGCCCAGCGGCTGCGCCTCCCTGCCTGGCAGGTGCACTCACGTGGTGATCTTGAGCACATCCTTCATGCTGGTCAGTGGGTCCGAGGTGTCAGGGCAGCGTAGGAGGCATGGAGCGAAGACGATGGCCAGTGCCCCCGGTGACATGCGGTTCACATCCTCCAGCAGGGCCACCCTGCATGGCCACCAGCAGTTAGGAGTGGCAGAGGTGGGAGAGGAGACCCAGCCTCAGAGCAGAGGCTCCAGGTCCCTGAAGGCTCCACCCTGGCCCCAGCTGGCCCTGGTGCTAAGGTAGGTGACATTCCCCGGGGCACTTGCTTGACAAGATGGAAGATGAGCCGCTCCAGCGAGTCATGGTTGGCTTTGGGCAGGTGCTCCAGGACAGTATAGATGGCAGCCAGCTGCTCCTGCTTCTCTGGCAGCTCTGGGGATGAGGGGAGCAGGTGGATGGCACCAGGCTCACTCGCTTCCCTACCCTGGCTGGGGCCATGAGCATGTGGCCGACATGTGGCAGGGATCACAGCCACTGAGAGGCCCTGACCCAAACCAGGGGCTCCCCCTCCCCCTGGCTGCCCACTGGGCTCACCCACAGCACGGAGGAAGTCGCCATACTGGGCAAAGGTCATGAGGGGCTCGGGCAGCTCACGTAGCCACTGCTTGAGGACACCGGTGATAGCGTGAATGGGGAAGTCCTCCAACCGCACAGCTACGGGGTCTGCAGGATGGACAGTGTGGCATGACCACCGGGGACGAGCATGTGCAAGGGGCAAGGCTGCCCACCCGCCTCCCCACCTGTCTGCAGCGCCTGCCGGAGCTCGCGTGTGCGATGTGCAGTGCCCGACTTGCGATAGAGGCCCTCAGTGTAGAGCCCGTGCAGCTCCACGTGCTCCAGCAGCTTCTCCAGCACCAGGGGCACTGACGTCTTGTCTCCAGTCAGGCTGTCCACGCACACGCCAAAGTGGCCCAGCTCAGTGCCTGGTTCGCTCTGTGGGAAGGGCTCAGGGTCCCAATACCGCCATGCTGCACCCACCTCCTCTATGGGCTACATTCCCTGCCCAGGCGCCCTCCAGCACCATGGCATTGTCTGTGCCATGGCGCTGGGCAGGATCCCACCTGAGGTAACTGTGCCCTCGGTGGGCCAGTGGGGAGGCGCCTGCCCCCCAAACCTAGCACAGGGACCCTCACTGCTCAGAACAGAGTTGGAGTGCGGACTTCCTCAGGAAGATGGTGAATAGCATGGGGGCTGTGGCCCTCCTGCCCCTGCTGCGCCTCGCCTTGAGGGTCCAGGTGGGCACACTCACCCTCCTCCCACTCAGGTAGGAGCAGCAGTTCTGAATCTTGTGCATGCACTTCTTGTGGCAGGTCATCTTGCACACTAGGGTCACACACAGCAAAGGCTGGGTCACAGGTGCCTGGGCCACCCACCCCACCAGCCAGGTCCCAGCTGCACTTTGTTGTTTTGTACCAGGGATCAAACTCGTGACCTTGTGCTTGTCAGGCAGGCAATGCCTGCTGAGCTATGTCCCTGGCCCTGCCTCGATTTATTATTTATTCTGCACTTCTAGCAATGAAACCCAGGGCCTCATGTAGCCAGGCAGTGTTCTGGCACGGAGCTCCACCTCTAGCTCTTTGTATATTGGAGACAGGGTCTCTCAGTGGCCCAGACTGGCTGGAACTTTTGATCCTCCTGTCCCAGCCTCCCGAGCAGCTGTGTGTGACACCTGTCTGGGTGGGGAGGTAGTTCAGGTTGCAGGAGCAGAGTGCTAGGAGGGGTGGGGTAGGGTGCTGCGCTGCTCACCGCTGCAGAGCAGGGCCTTGTCCATGAGCCAGATGTAGGAGAGGCAGTGTTCACACGACTGCGGGATGCTAACCTGGTAGCTGGCAAACACGTGGCCATTGTGTTCATGAACCTGCGGGAGTGCGGCGAGCAGGGGCTCAGCAGGCTGCCTGCCTGCTACTGTCCTCAGGCCACAGCTACAGAGGCTGGGAGCAGACAGGAGAGTCCACACACACACTGCATGCCTGCAGGGACACACGCGTGCTCACACGCCTACTCACAGCTCGCTCCTGCTTCCGCTTCTTTTTCTGAGCTTTACTGGGCTGAGAGACACCAAAACTAGAGTCACGTGGGGACGCCTGGCCTAGGTCACCCACCCCAGGAGGAGGCCAGAGGCTTCTGGGTACCACCCCTCCCTTGGGGAGTGAGCAGCCCTAACACCCACCCTCTATCCAACCTGAGCCCAACAGGTAGGCGAGTGGGAGTCGGAAGACTTAGGAGAGGCAGGTGTAGCTGCCCAAAATCTGGGCCTGGAGATGTGGGGGTTAGGAAGACTGTGGACAGGCCAAAAGTGGGCAAGTCTGAAAGGATGGGGCGTCAGGGTGTGGAACGCGATGTGCTGGGTGGGGCACTCCTATGGCATGGGCGTGGCCAAGCGCTGTGGTGGGCGGGGTCGGAGAATGGGGCCAAGTACCCACCTTCCCAGGCTCAAAGTCAGTCTTGCAGCACCGTGTGAACTCGTCCAGCAGTGACTGGAAGAGGTTGAGGACCGGATTGGTGTCCTCCCCGCGCTCACTGGCCAGGTTGTTGACAATAATCTGGTAGTTCTCCATCAGGTCCTTGTAGCCCACGTGGATCTTTCCATTCTGCAGGAACAAGGTGTCACCAGAGCCCGAGCCCTTAATGTGGAGGATGTGGAAGGGGCTCGTGAGCCGGCGGGGCCTGCGGCGGGGCTTCCACGTACCGGGACAGAGTACATGGTTTTGATGTTGCTGCGGAACCGCTCGGTGGCCTCAATGAACAGGCTCTCAATGGGTGTCTTCTGGGAGCGCAGGTCATTTATCTGCAAGGACAGATGCTGCTGTCCCTCAGCCTGCTGCCAAGTCTCCTGCTGCTCCTCCACCCCCATGGACTCCACACCACTAGGTCTACACCATGCTGGCTTCCACCCATGCCACACGAGCGGGGGTGCCGGGACTCCCTGCTGTGATGGGCACCATGTTCCAGGAGGTGGGCAGAGGGATTGGGGCAGATCAGTCAAAGGGTGCAAAGTTATAATTAAGTGTAGTTTTAAAAAAAAATGTATTTGATGGTTACAGGGTCTTCCTATGCAGCTCGGACTCATAGTGATCCTCCTGTTTTTAGCCTCCCAGCGCTGGGATTATAGGTGTGTACCACTACGCCCTGACTCTGCGTTGGCCCAGCAAGCTGTACCGGGGCTCGAACCACAGTCCCTGTGCTTGCCTAGGCTTGCCTAAGCAGGTGATTTAGTCCACTGAGCGATCTCACTGGCCCCTAAATTTTGTTTTTTGAGAATGTCTTGCTAAGTTGCCCAGGCTGGCCTTGAACTTGAAATCCACTTGTTTCAGCCTCTAAAGTGTGGGATGACAGGTGTGCGGCTCTGCAGCATTGTGGTGTTCACAGAACACAACAAGCGTGTGGCACAGCTAACAACAAAGCATTGTATAGTTAAAAACAGCTAGAAGACAGGGTTATTTCCCTGGTGCTGGAGCTCAGAAACTCCCTCAGCGCCAGCTCCCGGGCGGCCTGCCCGCCAGCCCACCCAGCCCACCTTGTTGAGCAGGAACTCATCCAAGTACTTGAGCTCATTGGCATTCGTGATCTTGCGGAACACCGATTCCCGCCACTTCTCCGTCACTGTGATCTTGCCGATCTTGAGGTTGCGGTTCCTCTTCCCTTTGCTGCCTGTGTCCTTGGTGTGCTTCTCGCCCGATGTGTGGCGTGGCTGGTGGCCAGATGGGGCTGTGGGTGACATGGAGGAGCCATGAGTGTGGGCTTGGGGACAGTGTTGGCCTCATGGGGCCTGGTCAGGGACGCAGAGAGGTGGGACCTTGAACCGTGGGCCCTGGCCCCAGCCAGAACTCCCAGCCCTGAGCTCCCTGGCAAGGCCTGGCCCAACGTAGCTGTTGAGCGACCAACCTTCCAGTTTCTTCATCACAGGAGTGGCTTCTGACCCAACATGCCCAGACACCGTAGTCTCTGTCTCCTCCATACCCTCTGGGCTGTTCTTCTTATCCTTGGTCTTATGTAGAAAAAGTCTTTTAAATGTGGACCTGCAGGACACAGGGTTTTTTTTTTTTCTCTTTGCGACAGGGTTTTGCTATGTAGTCCAGATGGCGTAGGACTTGTCTTGATCCTTTTTTTTTTTTTTTTCTTTTTAAAATGTACTTAGTACAAAGTTTACAGGCTCTCACTATACTTATCAGACTCACTTGATTCTCTTGTTCTCAGCCTCCCAAGCACAGGTACTACAGCTGTACGCCACCATGCTCAGTCTCAGTCGCCCTCTCAGCGCACTCTAAGGGCAGGGCCAGCATAGCACTCTGGGAATTGAACCTCAGTCCCTGTGCCTGCCTAAGCAGGTACTTTAGTCTGCTGAGCTATGTGGTCAGCCCTTGCTATTTTTAAAAAATCATTTATTTATTTATTTGCTAAGGGTCTCACTATGCAGCTGAGCCTCCCAGTGCCCACCATGTCCAGTTTTAGTGGCTGGCTTTGAGTGGGGCCAGCACAGTATGAGGTACCAGGAATTGAACCTAGGTCCTTAAGCTTGCCAGACAGGCGCTTAGATGTTTGAGCTATCTCCCCCGATCCTCCTGCCTTAGCCTCTAGAGGGCTGGATGACTGGTGAGTGTTGCCACACCTGGCCAGGACTCCATGTTTATATTAAAAGGAATAAAGTTATTTTTTCCTGTTCTCCTATGGGCACAGGATTAGTAAAGACAACAGATGCCGCCTGTGAACCATGGCTGCTGGCTAAGCGAAGCGGGCACCCTGCTGCTCATGGTGGGCTTTGAGGCAACCCTTCTGGGGCCTATGCCCTGACCTGGGTGTGCAATACCCCCTAGATTTGAGCACTGAGGGGTGGAGCCCCCCAGTGGTGGTGGGCAGAGGTGGGGCATGAGCCCTCTCCCTTCTTCCTGGATGTTTCTGCTGCTTCCTGTCCACCAGGCTGCCCGCCACAGTGCTCCTGCTGTGGGCTGGCAACTGTGGACTGAGCCCTTGGAAGCCAAGAGCCAGGTGGCCTTGGAGGAGCTGCCCAACATGACCACCCTGGCCAAAACTGCTCCTGTGGATCCATCTGCCTATTGTGACTTGTTCAGGAGACCAGATTCCCTTGTGGCCTCGAGAGGGACCCTAGGAATCTGCCACTGGCCCAAGCCCCCAGCCCTCTTACTTAGAGTCGGCCTGGGAGCCTGGTGACAGCCCTGCCTCTGGGCCGGAGGAGGCATCACCCGACTTCTTCTTGAGCACAACTGGCTTCTTGATGCTGGACTCCCCGTCAGTTTCTGAAAGCTGTGGGGATGAAGTGGGAGAGGCGGGTGAGGGGGCAGGCCCTTTGCTGAGGGCAGTGGGTCCCTGGTGTGTACTCCATTTGCCAACCCTGGCTCCTCCTTTTGGCAGGGGGTGGGGCATGGTGCGTAGGCACTCACCACTGAGCTGCACTCCAGCCCTAGTTCTTTAATTATGAACTGGTTTCCATAAATGGCTTGGGCTGTGCTTGCACTTGAGCTCCTCCTACCTCAGCCTTCCTAGTAGCTGGGTCACACCTAGCTCTACACTCCTCCATTAAGTGTCTCTAGGGCAGAGCTGGGCTGGTGAGAGCTGAGGCACACAACTCATGCTTACCTGTGCTTTGGCTGGGGCCAGCTTGGAGACGTCGCCTGTGGACAAGGAGATGCGCCTCTCCCTGGGAGAGTCAGAAATAAGCCAGTCACCCATGGGGCAGGGCAGCGAAAGACTCATGCAGGTGGCAGCCCACCCCTCCCCTGCACAGCTAGGGACATCTGGTGGCTCAGAAGCCTGTGGCACACTCTGCCTGTGAACAGTTCCATGAGTGACCATCGAGTCATTGGGTCCACTGCTGTCACATGCCTACTCCTGTCCATGTCCATGACGCATCTCCACCTGCAGACTGCGCTGCCTGTCTCCCTCACAGCTCTCCCTACACGTATCCCCTCCTGACCTCCAGCCACCCTATCCATCTGGCGGTACTGCTAGAGACCATGCAGCCCAATGGCACACAGTGCAGGGGTCCGCCTCCCACAAGGCTGCCTCTGTCCATGTGTCACCTGTCTTCCTTTCCCCGCACCCCAGCTCTAAGGATCTCTGCTGTCCTCGGCCTGGCCACCCTGCCCACGCCTCCTGGTGCCATCCTGTGCCACCTTGCCGGTCTACATCCCTGCATCCTCACATTGCTGGGCTCCCCATGCCAACCATGCCTGTCATCTCTCCCTCTCCCCAGTGTGTCCAACTTATACTTGTCCCCATCCTGGGTCTGCTGCTGCTAGAGTGGCAGGGGAGGCCAGCACTGTCCCACCCCCCAAGCCCACCCCCACAGGGAGGGGAGGAGGTCACTGGTCTGGGCTTGCTCAGGGGCAGTGGGAGCAGCCATGCCCTGGGTTCCCTAAGGACAAGCTGGTACCACACACTGCGGGGGCTCCCCCCCAGGGGACACCTTTGTTCCCTGTACAGCCATGGGATCTTACTCGGTGGGGGTGAGGGCTGCCCCTGCAGCCCGGTGCCTGTCACTGAGGTCTAGGGACTGGCTCAGTGTGCTGCCAGCAGTGGTCCCCAGCTTCCGGCCACGCCACTGCTCCACGGCGATGGCCAACCGCTCAGCCTCAGGAGGCTGGTACCGCTGGATCTGCACCGCGGCCCCGGGGCTGTCAGCCCGCCGGCTCCTGTCCTTGGAGGCCACATCCAGGGCCAGGCTGGTCGGCCGTTGTGCAGGGCTGGGCCCCGGGTCCCCTGCACTGTCAACAAGGACTGTGGCAGCTGCCTGGGATGGTGCCACGGGCTCGGTGCAGGGACAAGCCTCGGCCCTGCTGCGCTCCTCGCGTGAGGCCTGCAGGTGCCGGTTCTGTAGCTCCACATGCTCCAGGCCTCGCTGCCGCCGGGACTCACGCTTCTCCCGGCTGCTGGTCGCCTTCTCTTGCCCCTCGCCTGCCACTGCCGCAGCTGTGCTCCCGGGGGCCGGGAATCCCTCCCCATGGCCCAGGGCCTCCACCTCCACTGCTGCCCCATCCGCAGGCTGTGCCGCAAGCCCTGGTGCTGGGTGCTCGCTGTCCCCAGCAGCCTCCAAGTCCTGCCCGGCCACCTGTGTCTCAAGGGCCTCCAAGTCCTGCGCCCCTGCAGCCTCCAGGGCCTCCCTTGACCGCTGCTCCTCACACTTCTTCTCCATGAGCATCTGGCTGAAGCTGCACACAGACAAGAGCGGGGCCATGTCAGAGACACAGCTGTGGGCACTGCACATGCCGCAGCCCACCCCTACCCACTACCCATGGCTCCAGCCACTCTGGGGCCCTCTCTTGGCCCTTGTAGTCTCTCTGGAGTCGCGGTTTCCTCCACCACAACAGCACGGGTGGTCACGGCTCATAGCTGTCACCTGCCTCAGCTGTGTGCCCTTGGGCCATCCAGAGGGATCCTGCAGGAATCCTGGGGTCTCACCGGTTTTGTTTTTGTTTAAAATGTATTTAGTTCAGGGTCTACAGTGTCTCACTACCCAGATCAGACTCATAGTGATCCTCCTGTTTTCAGCCTCCCAAGCGCTGGGATCACAGGTGCATTCCACTACGCCCAGTCTCAAGAGGCCTTCTCAGCATGCCCCGGGGGCAGGGCTGGTGGGGCCAGCATGGCACACCAGGGATTGAACCCCAGTCCCTGCGACTGCCTAAGCAGGCACTTTAGTCCGTTGAGCTATCTGGCCAGGCCTTCTGCTCTTCTGCAGTCCTGGAGATTGCCCAGGGCTGTATCACTGAGCTACACATGTAAGTGGCCCATTGGGTTTAACTTTGTGACCCTCCTGCCTCAGCCTCCTAAGGGTGGAGATTAGGGGCCTAGAGTGTGCTGGGCTCTGCCTGGAAGAGGATCCTTTGTTAGGCCTTGCACAGGGTCCTGACATGAGGACTCCTGCCTCAGAGTGCAATTTCACTTGAGGTGGGGCTGGGCCTAGGGAGGTGGGCACAGATGGGCACTGGAGCCCTCAGGTCCTGCCAAGGGGTTGCTGCCTGGCAGGTGCTTGGTCTCACAGTGCAGTGAGGAGTAGCCCAGCTGTGACCTGGAACAGTGTGCTGTGGAGCCGGCCAGGCAGGAGCCCAGGCAGTGACCCATGCAGCCAGCTGGGAGCATCTTGAGGAAGCCCTGTGTCAGTGGTCACTGACCTCCGGCGCTGCAGGTGGCCACGGCACAGGCTCTGCAGGCGGACGACACTCTGGCGCCAGCGCTGGTAGGCCTTGCGCTGCCGGTAGCCTCTCCAGGCGGCCTGCAGGCACATGGCGGCCTGTGTCCTCACCAATGCCCTTTGTGTGCGGTAGGAGCGCCAGCAGACCTGGATGGCCACAGCGGCACGGCGCATGTGCAAGAAGTGGCGACGCTCCAGCACTGTGCGGAACCAGCTCTGCAGCAGCAGAATCTTGCGCATGACCTCACGGTGCAGTGTCTCCTGTAGGGCCTGGCGCTCTGTTTCTTTTAGGAAGACCTGGGGTGGACAGGGCACAGCTCAGCACCAGCCAGTTCTGGCAACATTGCGGAATGAACCCAGGACCTTCACACTGAGCTCCACTCCAGTCTTTTAAAAGCATTCTAAGACTGGATCTTACTAAATCACTGAGTTGCCTGGGCTGGACTTGAGCTGGTGATCTTCCTGCCTCAGCCACCCAGGCTCGCACCACTGTGCCCTGGCTTCCCGTCTTGCTTGTCCCCTTTCCCCCCACCATTGCCATACCAGGCTCTCACAGGAGGGCAGAAGTGGTGCCTGGCTCCTGGACTTCTACAACTGTGAGCTCCATGAACCTTTCTGTGTAGGATTCAGAAAAGCAACAGCAAGGGAGCCAGAACCTTCTGTGCAGCCCCCACCGCCCCTCGCAAGGCCGCAGAATGGTGAGCCTGCGGGCTTGTGGGAGCGGGTGTCCTAAGCATGGCAGCACACCTTGGTCTTCCCGATCTGGTAGTTCCTCTCATCCATGCGCATCTTCTCCAGAAGCGCCGAGATGACCTCGCGGCAGGGCTGGGCCTCCTTGGGCAGCAGCACCTGGAACTGCTCTGTGAAGTCCTGGGAAGAGGAGGCTCATGTGGGCCTTCCGGGACCTGGGTATCGGCCAGGCCTGACTTTCTGCTGTGCTTCTGAGGTGCTGGGTACGGAACCCCACGCCTCCGCATGTGACAGGTGCTCACCACACAAGCCAGCCCCGCTCTTGCTGAAGTGCCCAGGCTGGGCTCGAGCTTGTGCTTTTCCCACCTCAGCCTACCATGTAGCTCTCCAAACCCCACACCTGCGCCCGTCCATCACTAGCTGGTACAGTGCACCCCACCTGGAAGGTGTACTTGGCGCTGTAGCCGGAGCGGCGGATGCGCACGGTCTCCAGCATCCCGGTATAGCGCAGCTGCTGCAGGACCAGCTCGTCATCGAAGCACAGCTCCTTCTGCAAGGCCATGGTGCTGTCAGGGCCCTGGTGTGGCTACCCTGGGTCTGGGAACTCAGGGGGGCCAAGTCTGGTGGCGTGGGGCTCTCGTCCATGGAGGCTCATGGTTTCTACTTTCTGCCATGAGGGCTTGCTGGCAACCAGCCTGGACTACCTGGGCTGTGCCTGTCCTAATAGGCCCAGGGAGGCTGAGCAGTTGGAGATGAAGCCTAACACCCATGTCACTGGAAGAATTGACCCAATGGGTGGTGGCTTGGGACCAGCAAGGCCCAGGTGACACGGCTGTCTCAGGACCCCAGCAGAAGGCAGTGACGGGGCTGCCATGATGGTGGAGGCTGGGCCCTGAAGACGCCCACAGCACCTGCACAGCCAGCAGGCCAGGGAGAGGAGCAGGGTGGGGCCAGGCCAGGGTAGCAGAGAGGTCTAGGAGGCTCCTGCCACGGGGCCCCCAGCTGTTTTCCGGGCCTGGCCCGGGCCCACAGGGTGAGGCATATGGGCAACCCACTCACCTTGGCAGCGTTGGAGCGGATGCAGCGGATGAAGAAGGGCTCGGCTTTGCCCAGGGTCTCCAGCAACTTGTTCAGGGATGTCTGGGGATAGAGCATGGCCATGCTGCTCCAGGGGCCATAGGATAGAGAGCCCCAAGGTCGGGGCTTCATGGCCACGCAGCTGTGCCCCAGGGATGCCGTGCTCCTGGACACACAGGGACACTGTGTGGTGGCTCTGGCCCTGCCTGCTCTTTTTTACTTTCAGCAGCCTTATACACGCCAGGCAAGTGCTCATGGCCGCAATGGCCTGGTGCTTTCACAAAGGCTTCGTAAAGGGTAGGTGTGGCTCAGTTGTGGCCTTTGTGCCTAGCATGCCTATGCGTGAGGATCTGGGGTTCAGCCAGCACAGAAAGGAGCTCTGAGGGCTCCCACCAGAGGGCGCTGTCAGGGATGCTGAGGAGGGAGGAGAAGGCCAGGGCAGAGGGAAACTAGGGCTGGGATGGCTGGAGCTGCCAGACGGTCTCGTGGCTCTCCCAGCTCAGGCGGATGTGGGGCCTGCAGTGGAGGGCTCTGGGGGGCACAGACAGTCCCCATGTGGCTGGCGCCCACCTGGAACTGGGCACTGATGCTGGGTGGCTTCTTCTTCTTGTGCAGGTGCAGCAGGGACTTGGTGGTGCGGTCGTGGAGCGTCATGCTGACAATCAGCCTCAGAGACTCACGGTCTAGCAGGTTCTAGGATGGACACTGGTGTCTTACCAGCACTCCACAGCCAGCTGCCCAAGCTGGGTAGGCAGCACCACTGGACCCCACAGGCCAACATGGGACACAGTACAGCTGCCTCGGTGCTGTGCCCGCACCCCCTGCATTCTGCTGCAACAGAGGCCTGCCCTCAGCTGCTCATCCTAGCCTGGAGGAGCCCGCCAGCCCCCAGGGCCCCTGCCCCTAACCACAGGCTGCTCTTGGCCCGCATCTGAACCCACTCCAAGTCCAGGCTGTGCATTGCAGGCCCAGATTGCCCATTTCTAAATCCCAAGGCACTGAGGCCAGGAGCTTTATTAAAGTGGAAAACTCATGCCACAAAACTGTTTCACTGCCAAATCATTAAAAATACCACCATGTTTGGTGACCCACGCTGGTTATCACAAATACTCGGGAGGCTGAGGCAAGAGGATTGCTGTGACTTCAAGGCCAGCCTAGGCTACACAGCGAGACCCTGTCTCAAAAAAAACTAAAAAGACAAAAAAAGCAAAAGCAAAAGCAAAACCCATCAGAAAAAGAACCCCAACCACCCACACCCCCAAATCATTAAAGGTGACCCACATGGTATCACCTTTGGGCTGGGCGGGTAAGATGGGTGCAAACAGAGTGCACCTTGTGTTTAGAGGTGAGCACAAAGCCCAGACGGCCTGTGTGGGCACAGATGTTCTGCGTGTGTGTACGCGCAAGTGTGTGCGTGGGCAAGAGCTCAGAGCCTCTGCACACAACAAATCCCCAGCTCTTCTCATTCCTTTATTTCTTGGTGTTCTGGGACAGGGTCTTTTTTTGGGGATGCCAAGGACTGAACTCAGGACCTTGTGTTTGCCAAGCAAGCACTTATTCCACTGAGCTATCTTCCCGGCCCTTGAGACAGAGTCTTGCTATATAGTTGAGTCTGGCCTTGAACTCATTATCCTCCTACCTCAGCCTCCCTGAGTGCTAGATGATAGGTATGCACCCCACAACCAGCTCAAAATGTTAAATAAATAAATAAATAACTTCCCAAATTGGGGATGCTTCTGACCCAAGAAGTTTGGGTAAGAAACCATGCATCCAGCTAGGCCTGTGGTGCAGGCCTGTCATCTCAGAACTTGGGAGGCAGAAGCAGGAGGCTCACCCCAAGTTTGAGGCTAGCCTGGGCTACACAGCAAGAGACTGTGTCAAAAATCAAGAACAAAAGACAACAAAAACCAGAAGTCAGCACATGCTGCGCGGTGCCCTGTAAGCACGCCATCAAGGTACCCACACCAAGTCACATGCTCCAAGTCACTAAGAGCAGATGCCAGGTGTTCAGCACACACACGCAAACTCTGTGTGGCTGCCACATGGACTCAGACCTGTGACACCCACAGGGGCCATGGCTGTGTGGCTGCGGGCCCCAGCTGCCCCGAGTTCTCTCCTGGGACTCTCCCCACTGCCAGGCACTGAGCCTGCCTGGCACCCAACCGCCACTGAGCTGCTCCCAGCCCAGGACCACTGTGCAGAGCGGGCAGGGGAAGGAGGACAAGGATGAAGAAGCCCCAGAGCAACAGCATGCCCCACCCTGGCCACCCCGTGTGCTCTCACTTCCAGGAGCCAGGAGGGATAGAGCAGACAGCTGGGAGGGCGGCGCACGGGCTTTACCTTGGGAATGAGCTGCTTTTGTTTGATACCTTTACTCTTCCTGTCAAAATATTAAAAATGGTTTTGTGAACAAGGAGAACACAGGGGTAGGGTTGAGTTAGTTCAGCAAGCCACACCCTGTGAGTTAGATGGAGAGAAAAGAGAGGATGGGAGAGGCCCGAGACAGGGCAGATGGTGCCAGTGTGGCAGGCTCCTGCTGGTGCCAGCTCTGCATGGCCAGTCTACAGGTGCGGGGAGGATGACAAGTTCCAGCCCAGCATGGGCCACTGAGACCCTGTCTCAAAATAAAAAAACAAGAAGAGCAGGAAGCATAGCTTAGTACCAAGTCCTGGTTCCTACTCCAGCACTGCACAAAAGCAAACAGAGAACTCAGCCACTGGCTCTGTGGCTACAATGCAGGGCTCTGCTGCTGCACCCAGGGTGGCCACAGAGGGCAGAGATACGGGGTCAGCATGAAGGGCGGGGGCGGGGGGGGGGGCTAGCCTTAGTGCTGAGGTGAGGCATAGTCGAGGGCACCTGGCCCCCCAAGGCGGCTGCATGAGGATGAAGCCAGAGGCTGTGTGAGCAAGCAAGAGAGCATCTTAGTGCCTGGCTGGTGGGCCTGGGTGTGGCAGGGACTCACAGGATGCAGGGGCGTGGCCGCTGGAGCCGGCTGAGGGACTGTAGCAGCCTGCGGGGGTCCTCGCCCTGCCAGGGCAAGCCCTTGATGCTCTCGATCATCTGGTGGTGCAGCTCACTGGGGTGGAGGGGACCATGACAGAGAGACAGTCAGAGCCAGAAGCATCACCCCATCCCTGGCCACCATGGCCCACACCCCAAGGGAACTCGGTCCAGAGTAGCAGCAGGCGGAAGGGCACAGCCACTCTTGGGTGCTGGAAACAGGCCTGAGTCCAGGCCTTCTGGGGCCTGGAGGGGTGGCCCGGGAGTCCCTGCCAGTCTGGGGATAGCTGTGGTCATTAGGAGTTGGGGCGCTGCTGCCTGCTAAGGGTGGGGTAGGTAGCTGTTCAGCACCCACAGGGTCCAGGGTGATCCCATGGTATCCACTGCAGAGCAGGACCGGGGAGCCTTGGTCGCAGGGACGCAGCCCAGAGTGTGCCTCTGGCCCACGTGCTCCCAGCACAGAGCCTAGCTGCATGCAGAGTCCTACCCCGTGTGGCCTGAGGGAGTGGCTGCAGCTCTGTCCCTTACCATGCTGTGGCACTTCGCTCCATACCCCTGGGCCTAGGGCCTAAGGATGCAGGGCCCCCTTCACTCCCTCCAGGAGCTATGAGCCAGCCCCCCCTGCCTGGCTTGCTCAAGAGCCATCTCTTCTTCCCTTCCTTCGTCCTGAGAGCCGGTCCTGCTGCATTCCCACGCTGACCACCTAACTCCTGGGCTCAAGCAATCCTGCCTCAACCTGTGAGCAGCGTGGCCATAGGCACACAGCACCCCAGCTCTCAAGGGAGCACCCCGCTGTGCTCTGCCCACCTCACACTTCGGCCTAGGGGTCTCCATGCTACATCCCTGGGCCTTTTCATTTTTAAAATCTTCTGAGGCAGGGTCTCACTAAGTCTCTAAACCACTCAGATTGGCCTAGAACCCTCGATCCTCCTGCCTCAGCTTCCTCATGTCCTGGGATGGCAAGCTGCCTGGCTCCCACCCTCTTCAGCCCAGGGCAGGCAGAAGGCTCCAGCCAGTGCAGTGGTCATAGGGACCACAAACCCGTGACACCGCATGTGCTCGGCTTTGAGCCCGAGGCTGCCCGCTGCCTGGGCAACGGCATCAGCACGGCTTCCTGTGGGTGCTGGGGGCTGCCACACCCACCACCCAGCCCTGAAAGGCCTGCTTTGTGTGCCCAGCTGCCCCACACCCCATGCCTGAAGCCACTGGGGACACCATGGACTCACAGAGCCACCCTGACCAGCCAGCGTGCAGGGCTTCCAGTCTGCTTGCAGCAGTGCCACTATCTTTTTTTTTTTTTTGTGGAACCAGGGAATGAACTCAGGCCCTTGCGCTTGCCAGGCAAGTGCTTACTCTACTGAGCCATCTTCCTGGTCCCAACAGTGCCACTATCTGATGGCTTTGCTCACCGGTAAAGCCTCTCAGATGACGTGTCGGCTCCTGAAGGCGGCACTCCTGGGGGACTCTGGGCATCAGGGCTGCCGGGACCTAGGGACACAGAGTGGATGTCGCTCAGCAGGCCAGAGCCCACCAGCTTTGCTTCCTACAGAGACTGGGATGGTCTTGCTGCCTTTATTTTTTGTGGGGCTGGGGCAGAAGCCAGGACCTCATGTGTGCCGGGGCAATCCACATCCCCAGTACAGCCTTAGCCCTTGCAACTTGATTTTGAGATGGGGTCTTGCTAAGTTGCCAGGCTTTACTCAACCAAACTCCTCCTGCCTCAGCCTCCGAGTAGCTGCGCCTACAGATCTGTACACCCGGCCTCTTTCAATCATTTAACTTTTTTCCCGCTTGCAGTGCTAGATCCCTTTTCTTTTCTCCCCCCGCCCCCGCCCCTTCCCTTTCTAACTCTGGGGACCAAGCTGAGACCTCATGTGCCGCCTGAGCTGTACTCCAGGCCTTCAGGTCACACTAAAGGGCGGCTCACTGCCTACGTGCAGGCCGAGCGTGGAGGGGTGCAGTTTCATACCAAAATGAGCTCAGTTTACTCCAACCCCTGTGTGGCCTCTGCCCGAAGCCCCCTCAGAAGCTGTGTGCCTGGAGATGGACCACGTGGGCCCAAAGCTCTCAGCTCTACCTCCGGGAGCTGCAAGGGAGGGGCCAGGCCTGAGACAGCACAGGTGGCCTCGAAGCACTGGGTTAAAGCACCACTGTGGGACAGGCCTGTGCTTCGCATGTCACCACCCTGCAGGCTGTGACCTGCAGGCCCTCACAGCCCTGTGGTCCATGCCACTCACATTGGTGGCAGCACAGCCCACAGCGCCTGCCCCTGGAGAGTGGCCTGCGCCCCACCAGCAGAGGATCAGGGAGGGAGAAGTGTGGCGCATACACACCATACAGTACTTTGCCCTGAAGGATGACTTGTGTCACACAGGAAGACAGATGCACCGAGACCATGATGTTCAGAAATAAGCCAGATGTCAGCTTAAGCAGCGCATGGCTTCTTTTACAAGAAAAATGTGTAAAGAATGAAAAGGGTGGACGCGCAGGGCCAGGCTGCGCCACACACATCAGCAGGATGGCGCCTGATGGCTCCCCTACCTGCCATCCTCTCCCGCCTCTCGGCCCGCAGGCGCGCAGCCTCCCGCAGCACGGCCATGGCCCTCAGGGCGGCGCGCAGCACGGCCCAGCGGAACACGGCCACAGGCTCCATGCCGATGAGTTCGCGCACATAAGCACTGTCACTGCTGCGCAGCAGAGCCACGATGTCCGGCCGCATGTAGTCCATGTTCTTCTCCCGGAAGTCCTGCAGCAGGGCAAGGAGAAAGCAGTGCCACTCCCATGCAGGGCTGGGGCAGGCGGTCCACCGCAGGGACCCCAGGGCCGAACACCACAATGAGCCGCACACCACGACGGGCTGCCAGGCCTCAGCTCTGACTTGCAGACCCTCCCTCGGGTGCCACAGCTGGACAGAACCGCGAGACTCCCCACCACGGCCTCCGAGCAGCACACGCCACACCTTGATCTGGTACTTGACACGGCCCGCGAAGTGCTGGATGATGAAGGCAGGCTCCCGGACTGGTGTGCCCAGGAAGTACTTATTGTCCTCGTGCTGCTGCTTGAACTTGGCCAGCAGGGTCTGGCTCGTGGCGTGGGGGAAGCTGAGGTGAGAATGTAAGCAGTGGGCATCTGGTGTTCCCTCCGGGAAAGAGGGAGGAGAATGGGACAGGCCTGTGCCAGCCAGCATGGCAGCATGGGGTGGAGGCTGCCAAGCCACAGGGCTCTTAGCGGAGTCAGGGGCACCTGCAACACTTGTCCTATGGTGGGCAACTTCTAACAACCACCCTAGACTTAGCGGGCTGTGGTGGCACACACCTCAGCACTCAGGAGACTGAGGAGGAGGTGTGTTGAGGGTTTGAGGCCAGCCTGGGCTCCATAAGGAGACCCAGCCACAAACACTGTGCCAGGCTGAGTGGCTGCTGGTGTCAGGTCTGGATGTGCCTGGCTGCCATGGAGGGTCTGGCCCTCACCCCAGGAGGAAGGAGAGGGCGGTGGCTGGGCAAGGCCTGCATACACCCAGCCATTTATGCTGCCTGGAGGGACTGGTGGCTGAGGCTTTGCCACTCGCACCTGGCAGGTGCCCAAGTGCTGGCCCCAGTGGGCTTCGAGGGGCCACTGTGGCATTGGGCACAATGAAGCTCAGTCACTGAGACAAACACACAGCGCAGCATGTTAGAAAAGCCTGATGTGTAAGAGCCCAGCACCCAGCCCTCTTAGGTCAGTGTCTTCCCCACCTGGCCACAGCAGAGGGGACGTTTCTGTCCCTATCCTGGGTGGGATCTGAGCTGTGCCTGGGTCACGTGGTCCCCTCCCTGGCCCACAGGGATGACACTAGTGAAGGAGGGGATGTGGATCCATGTGAGCGCGCAGGCCAGGCACAGTGGTGTCAACTGTGTCATCCTGGCTACTCAGAAGGCTGAGGCAAGCTGGCAACTTAGGAACACTAGAGCCTCCAGGGCTGCAAGAGGCAGGAGTGACTTCGCTACAGCTCTGGAGAGAACCAGGCTTGCCTGAAGCCTTATTTCTTATACACTGCACATGCACACTTTATAAGTAGCCTCTTTACAATGCCTCTTCACTCCAAAAAAAAAAAGTACCATTGCTGGACTGCAAACCGCACCACCAGCACAGGGCCTGGTCAGGCCTATGGCCCTGTGAGGGGGGACCTTTAAGGGGCGTGGCCATGGGCAGGACCAGCCTTTTGGGGGCGTAGTCATGAGTGTGACCACCTCCTGGGGCGTGGCCTTGCCACCCCTCCCTCCCTGCGAGACTGAGCTCAACCCAGAGGGCGGGCAGCGAGAGGCTTTCCCCATTTCCGCTGCAGTAGGCGCCCCCATAAGAACTCTGAGCACCCGGGGCCAGGGCCACGCACTTGCTCTCCTCATCCAGCAGGTAGAAGAGGCCGGTGGGTTTCTTGCTGATGAGATGGATGCAGCCCACGTTGTCCGTGTAGGCGATGTTGTGCCAGGTGATGCCCTCACCCTGGTACTCCTCCTGTGACCCGGGAAGTCAGGATTTCACTGGCGGTGCTGGGCACAGACCTGGCCTGCATGTGTGGTTGTTCACACAACATACGTGGCCTCAGCGTCCTGGGGCAGGTGCCAAGACCTCCCAGGCCCTCCGGTAGACAGCTCAGTATCTGCAGGTCACCTGCATGCATCCTGCCTTATGGTTCCATCCTCAATCACACAGTGTATCTGCAGTGTTTAGCTGCGTGAACAGTTGTGCCATAATGTTTGGAGAAAAAGGAAACAAAACATGCTGAGGACTGTACCCCAGAAGCACTGAGCTGCAGCCTGTTTTTATTTTACTGTGAGACAGACTCACAAAGCTACCTAGTTGGATTTGAGCATGCAATCCTCCTGCCTCAGCCTCCTAGAGTTCCGAGTTGACAGGCATGCATCTCCATGGCCAGCACTGTCACCGGTTCTTGGAGTATTTTTGTTTCAAGGTTGGCTAAAGCTGTACATACAGCACCACAGAGAGCTGACCATAGTGGAAACACAGAAGCAAAAATGCACTACCGGGGTTAGGGGGATAGCTCATAGAGTAAGCACTTGCCTCGCAAGTGCAGGGTCCTGAGTTCAATCCCCAGGTACCGCAAAAAAACCAAACCAAAACAAAAAAAATGCGCTACCGTGCCAACGTGAATGCAACAGTAACTGTATCAAGTCAGGAGAGGAGCACAAGTTCTCAATGTACAGCGTGGCACCTATGTTCTGTTCATGTCCAAGGACACCCAGGGTTGGCACCCGCTCCCTATAGGGGCCAGAGAGCTCCTTAGGAGCTGGACCTGGAAAGGTGCCCAGGGGAAACACAGAGGGGATCAATATACAGCCAGGGCTCACACCACACAAAGCCTATGTGGCGGCACATGCCTGTCATCCCGGTACTTGGGAGGCTGAGGCAGGAGCGTCGCTGCAAGTTCAAGGCCAGACTGGGCTATACAGGAGACTCTGTGGGAAAGGAAAAGGAAAAGAAAAAGAAAAGGAAAGTGCCTGTGACAGTAAAGACAGCCAAGAAGGGCAAGGCAAGTGTGGCTCCAGGGAGCAGAAGGACTGAGTGCTGTGAGGGGACTCGAGACAGTGTGCTTTTGGTGGTACCAGGGATTGAACTCAGGCCCTTGCGCTTGCCAGGGAAGCACTTATTCTATTGAGCCATCTCCCTGGCCCTGAACTCACTATGTAGCCCAGGCTGGCCTTGAACTCACTGTGCAGCCCAGACTGCCCTTCTGGAGATCCTCCTGCTTCAGCCTTTGAGTGCTTGATGCCAGGTGTGCACCACGACACCAGGCTCATTACACCCTGTGGCGTGTGAGTGACCAGCACAATTTCTATTTCCAGCTGGCGTGGTAGTGCACACCTGTCATCTCAGCACTCAAGAGACTGAGGCAAGGGGATCGTCGCGAGTTTGAGACCAGCTTGGGCTACAAGGTGAGCTCAGGGCCAGCCTAAGCTGAATAGTGAGACCCTGCCTCAAACAGAAAAAAAAAAAAATATTGTTTCCAGTAGCCTCCCTCACATTTACTTTTTTTGTGATGCAGAGGTAGATCCAGGGCCCTGCACTTGCGAAGCAAATGTGCATGCAGGCCACACTCCAGCCCTGAAAACCAGAGCTGAGGCCACTTAGCAGTGCTTACGGCCACTCATGCTGTGGCCCTGTGTTGTGGTGCGTGTAGGAGGCTCCTACAGCGACTAGGTCACAGAGGCCACCTGGGAAAGCCCTCAGTGGGACGCAGGCGGAGGTGGGACATCACTGAGGGGCTCTCATCAGAGCTGGAACTTGTGGCTTAGACTGGCCTCCACGCCTGGGCGTGTGGGGGCACCACGGACCTCCCTTGGCTACAGGAAGTGGCCAGCCCAGAGGGCTCTGTCACAGTAACAGAAAGCAAACTAACGTGCTCCATGTCATCATATGCTGCCAGGGTGACAGACCCAGACACTGCTGCAGCCTGCCCTCCTTGCCTCTCTCCTCCCCACCACTCTGACCAGCCACGCTCCAAGAGCCCAGGTGCTGCAGGCTGATGGGAACATCAGCTAAATGTTTACAGAAATCCATGAGATTTTCCCATGCACAGAACCCCCAATGAGAAAGAGAGTGTCTTGGTAACTTGGCTACTTAGTCCTGTCACGGACCACAGTAAGCCTCTTATGTCACCTGCTTCCTTCCCTGGAAAGGCCTGGTCATGTTTGGGATAAATTTAAAAATGACCCAAGGCTCAAAGCAGCCTCACATTTTCCTCACCCTGGGGCTGGGTGGGATTTTTGCCAAGTTTCCCTGTGGCAGAGAATTCCAGGTCAGATTTTGTGTCCTGGGCCTCCAGTGAGATTCTAGGAGAGCTGTCCCAACTTCCCGAGGGCTGGTGGTGACACACACTTGCAGCCAGGCGCCAGAGGGCTTGTCAAGTCTACTTTTGGGTACGTCTCCAGCCCATTCACGTGGCCTTAAATTCTGAGCCAGGGGCTCACTAACTTGCTGAGTGGCTTGGCCAGACTGGGCTCAAATCTGCCATCCTCTTGCCTCAGCCTCCTGGACTGTGGGCATGACTGTGCACCCCACATCCAGCTCCCACGCTTTTCTAGATTTTATCTGGAAACAGAATTGTTTCTAAGGGGCCCAGCCTGGCCTAGAACCTGGGATCCTCCTGCTTTAGCCTCGAGAGCCCTTGTGCCCTGCTCCAAGCAGACCTGTCTGGGAAGGGACCCGTGTCCACACCAGAGTGGCACCAGTCACAAAAGCCAGGTGCAGGTGCCCCTGCACACCCACCAGCAGATGGCTAAGCAAAGTGGGCTCCCATCAGAGGTGACTCAGTCCTAGAGAAAGGACAGTGAGCCAGAGGCTGCAGCCTATTCCAGGGCAACCGATAGGACCTGCTTACATCCAGTCCACAGACAGAGAACAGATGGCTGGGAGACAGCAGGCATACAGTCACAGGCCTGGCACCAGCTGCTGGTGGTGGCAGGGGCCCAGGGGCCACCCTGTGTACCCGCAAGCTTCGCACACACAGGCAGCCACTTGCAGGCTGACACATGTGCTTCTCAGCCGCCGCACACAGCGCCGGCCAGAGGCTGAAGCAGGTATGCGCAGAGGTGGGCACATGGCCCCACAGACCCACCTGCTCCAGCTTGAAGATGTGCTGGTTGAAGTAGTACTGCAGCCGCTCATTGGCGTAGTTGATGCAGAATTGCTCGAAGCTGTTCCGCTCAAAGTCCTCAAAGCCGAAAATGTCAAGGACCCCGATGGACAGGCACTGGGTGACAACAGGGTGGCAGTCACTGTAGGGCTCCTGGGGGAGCTGGCCCTCTCTGCAGGGCTGCATCACAGACATGGACCTGGCCACCTGGGGCCTGGGCTCGCTGAATGCTCTCCCACCACCAGCTTGTGTCCCTCGCTCATGGGGTCTGACATCTCTTCGATTCAGTACTGGGGAACTGACTCTGGGACCTACACACTGAGCTGCACCCCAGCCCTCTTCGTATTTTGAGACAGCCTCACTAATTGGCTCAGGGTGGGCTTAGACTTGCAATCTTCCCGCCTCAGACTCCCCAAGTGCTGAGATGACTGCCATGCACCACCACAACTAGTTGCGACCATCAGTTTTCACTAGGAAGACCTTTTTGGTTTGGTTTTACGTGGTGCCAGGGCTGCAGTCCTGTGTGCATGCTAAGCCACCTGCACTCCTGAGTTGCTCCCCAGCCGGGAGGCCCACTTCATTCTGCACTGAGTGCCTGCAGTCACAGGACCTGTCTGTTCACTGGGTCAGCCCGGAGAGTGACTGAGACCCAGGGCTGCAGGTATGGCCAGGCAGGACTCTCACCGAGACAGCCTCCTCCACATCCTTCTTGTTGAGGAGCGCGTGGTTGATCCGCAGCACAATCCAGTCGAACAGGGCACTGTACAGGGACTTGGCCATGGAGTCACGGGCGGTGACAGCCTGGGGACACAGGGCGCACTCAGGCGGTATGGAGCCACAGCGGCTGTTCTTTTGTTTTTTTAGCAGAACCAGGGATTGAACTCAGGCCCTTGTGCTTCCCAGGGAAGTGTTTGTTCTACTGAGCTATCTCCCCGGCCCCTGCAGTAGCTGTTCTTGTTCCCTTTCTGAGACCAGGTCTTGCTGCGCCTCCCAGGCTGGCCTCAAACTCCCGGCTCAAGCACTTATCCTGCCTCAGCACCCTGAGCAGCTGGGGAATAGGCGCATCCCAACAGGATGGTTTCTTTTTCACTTAAAAACAAAATCTTGCTTTTGTATTTCTTTTCTATAGGGTGGCCACAACTGCACATCTCCCCGCTTTTCCTGGTACCTGGGATAGAAGCCAGGAGTGCTAGCCTGCACAGCTGACCCCAGCCCTCTTTATATTTTTATTCTCAGCAAAGGCCTTACTAAGTTCCTCAGGCTGGGATCCCTTTTGAGATCTTCCTGCCTCAGCCTGCCAAGGAGCTGGGATGGCAGGTGTACCCGCCGCACCCAGCTTCCCACTCTTTCCTTTTTTTTTTTTTTGCGGAACCGGGGATTGAACGCAGGCCCTTACGCTTCCCAGAGAAGCGCTTATTCCACTGAGCCATCTTCCTGGCCCCTCACCCTTTCCTTTGTGGAGACAGCATGGAAGCCAGAATCCTGCTGCAGCAGGCCAGCCCCCCCCCCCATGTATCTTTTCCCTGAAGGCACACACACACACACACACACACACACACACACCCATTACCCCCAGCTACCGCTGTGTTGCCCAGGCTGTCCACAAGGCCCATGTGAAACACCAGCTGTCCGTTGCGCGCTTAAAATGCTGAGTGAAAAATTCCACAAACACACAATTCAGTAGTTTAAGCCAGCTCCATTCCATTAGAGCTGTGAGCCACGCCTGCCCCGCCAGCCTCCTCACCGGGTAAGCAAATGCCCAGCCCACTCAGCCAGTAGCGCTGGCCATCAAGTCACAGCCTAGGCAGGACAGCATCACCTCCAAGGGAAAAGGTGCCAGAACGCGAAAATCCCTTCTGGAGCCCGCACCTGCAGTTTCCATGTAGCACAGCTTTTTCTTTTGGTGTAGGGTCTCACTATGCAGCTTGGACTTGTAGTGATCCTCCTGTTTTCAGCCTCCCTAGCACTGGGATTACAGGCATGCACCACCACGCCCAGACCCGGTTGCCCAGCCCAGGGGTGGGGGTGGGTGGGGCGATGTCATACGTGGTGCCAAGGATTGAGCCCCAGACCCTACACTTGCCTAAGCAGGCACTTAGTCCACTGGCTAGCTCACCGACCCTACCCCACACCCTTTTAATTGTCCTCTTAATTCTTGGGGCCAACATTTCCTGTGGCTAATTTATATGCTAATTCATACACTGAGTTCTACCACAGGTATGTCCACAAGTGGTCAAAATATATGGCGGATGTCTAAATTTGAAAAATGTAGCACAGGGGCCAGGCAGATGGCTCAGTGGAATAAGTGCTTGCCCGGCCAGCACAAGGGCCTGAGTTCAGTCCCTGGTTCTTTTTTTTTTTTTAGGTGGAACCAGGGATTGAACTCAGGCCCTTGCGCTTGCCAGGCAAGTGCTTATTCCACTGAGTCATCTCCCCGGCCCCCCCAATCCCCGGTTCTGCAAAAAAAAAAGTAGTACAGTGGCTGAGGAGATAGTTCAGCAGTGCAAGCACCAGCCTGGCAAGAGCAAGGCCCCAGGCTTGATCCAAGTACTGCATGCCGTGCTGGTCCCCGAAACCAGGCATGGTGGCACATGCCTATAATCCCAGCATCAAGGAGGCTGAGACAAAAGGATTACTATGAGTCTGAGTCTAAGCTGTGTAGTGAGACCCTGTATCAAATAAATAAATAAAAGACTAAAACGTTTTTAAAATGCAGCCAGTAAAATGCTGCTTGGGGGCTGGTGAGATGGCTCAGTGGTCTAAAGCATCTACATAGAACAAGCTTAGCAAAGCACAGGGACCACGGTTCAATCCCCCAGCATCACATGCCAGCCAGCCCCGCCCCCTGGTGGGCTGAGCTGGCCACACACACAAATAAGTAAATAAATAAATAAAATTTAAAAAAAAAAATGTTGCTTGGAGTGCCCCACTCATCCCCACGGCTTGGGTTCTCAGGGTCTACATGAGGCTGAGCCTCAGACACAGTGACCAGTGCTGCTGAGTGCCACCCAAAAGACGTGACTCTGCGCCCTGGGCTACCACCGCCACCCAATCTGGCACCAGCAAGTCAGGTTCTCCCTCAGGGTCACGGCAACCAGGGAGAGAGACGTTCCAGTCCCTTTGGGGCCTGAAGCGGGTGGCGCAGTGCAGCTGAGGACCCTCAGGAGAGAAGACTTCAGGGCCGCGCAGGAAGCAGCCAAGATGTTGGGGGGTATTCGAAGGGTCCCATTCACTACAATAAATTTAAAGTAGTGTTCAATCCCCAGTACCACAAAAAATAAAGAAAGTAGTAAAATGTAGCACTCCGCGCACCACAGAACACTGTACAGTGTCTGTCCCTGCGGTGACTCCAAGCTCCCACCAGGTACCCTGAGCAAAGCCAGTTTGGGCCGGTGGCACTTACCTCGCCGAGGCTGTAGGGCAGGATGAGCTTGTCATTAGCGGTCACCGTTTTTCTTTTGGTCAGGACCTCCACCAAGATCTCACGCTTCACCTGTGGAAAGTCAACATCAAGGTCAAGGAGAATGGACCAAAATAAAGGGAGAATGGGCCAAAAAAAGGTCAAGGAGAATAGGCCAAAAAAAATGGGCCAGTCAGGAGGCAGCCCAGCTTCTAGGCTGCCAAGTGCATGTGCCTGTACCTGTGGGGCCCGGTCCCTGCACGCCTGGCCCACAGTGTATGTGCCACGCCGCCAGTTCCCAGCCTGTGCGTGGGGTCCGGGCCTGGGCTGGGGCTTCACTGAAACCCTGCGCAGAGCCTGCCCTAAGCTGACCTTGCTGTCAGCAGCAGGAACAGGGTGTGTGGTGGGTGCCCTAGCCGTCCCCAGGGCACCCACAAAACACAGGGTCTCAATAGGAGCTGCAGGCCGAGCACTCCTCCTTTAAACAAGGCTGCAGGCCAAGTGAGCAGTGCACACCCACAATCCCAGCCACAGACAGGCTGCAGTAGGAGGGTCTCAAGTTCAAAGCAGCTCTGGAGTCTTAGGAAGACACAGCCACAAAACAAAACAGGGCTGGGGACCCAGCTCAGGGGCAGGCCCTGGGCCCAATCTCCAGGACTCAGAAAACAGAAAGGCACAACGCGGGCAGCTTCTAACCCACAGGGGTCGGCCCTGGATCAGGCTGGCTGCTCTGCCGTGGGGAAGCCCCCTGAAGGCACAGGACGCCCGGGCTGCACCCCAAGCTCCACCCACAGGCCGAGACCATCAGGTGACACACAGCTGCGTCCAGCTGACGCTCCGAGTGCTAAGTGCACAGCTGCTACAGGGAGCAGCAGGGGAGTGGGGTCCTCAGAGAACGGCCTGGCCCACCGCACCATACTGCTGCTCTGTATCCAGGCTGGCCACTAAGTCCTGGGCCCAAGGAATGCTCCTGCCTCAGCCTCCTAAGTGCTGGGATGACAGGTATGCACTACCACGCCTAGCTTCTTTGCAACCCTGTTTGACAAGAGCATTTGTGCCATGAGAGGTGGCACGCGCTGGGGAATGGATCAGAGACGCCAAGCAGAGGGAGAATGCAGCAGCCCCAGGAGGGTGCGGAGGAGCCTGTCATCCCTGCTGTGGCGGGGTGGGGGCAGTGTGCATGCGTGCTCGTATGTGTGTGTGTGTGTGTGTGTGTGTGTGTGTGAATGCACGTGCCCGCAAGCACAGTACCTTCAGCAGCCGTGACAGCGTGTCTAGCACCTCGGCCGGCCCAACCTCCAGGCCCTCATCGCGACCCGTAGGCCTCTTCCTGTAGGTGACGTTGCCCAGGTACAGGATGGCTGAGAGCACCGAGAAGATCCTGTGGGCACAAGTGTGCTGAGGACAGCGCAGGGCCCGCCTCCCTGCTTCCATGCGGGCTTTCACCTCCCGCTTCTCCCCACTGGGGGCCAAGGCACACCCAGCGCTCAGCTGCCCCCTGCACCCCGGCCCTAGGCTCCATATGAAGTGTGCAGACTGAACCCCCAGGCCTTGCCAGTGTTAAGCAGGGGGCAGGGCACAGGTGCATTTTGCTAGCACTAAAATAGTAGTAGTAGTAGTATTGTTGGTACTGTGAATTGAACTCTAGACTTTCGCCAGGCAGGTGCTGTACCACTGAGCTAAATCCCTGGCCCTTCTGCAACAGGGCCTTGCCATGCAGGAATCTGCTGCAAGCCTCCCTCCCGAGTGCTGGGACAGACAGGCGTGCACCACTGTGCCTGGCTTAAAACTGAGTTTTATTTTTTTTAATTTTTTAATTTTTTTTTTTTTGGCAGAACCAGGGATTGAACTCTGGTCCCTGCACTTGCCAGGCAAGAGCTTATTCTACTGAGCTATTTCCCCGGCCCCCAAAACTGAGTTTTAAAAGGAGGAATAACATGCATACACATTGTATTTGTGGATCAAAGCACCACACTGCACCCCCTAATTGTGCAGTGGCAACATGTCTGAAAACTCAGAGGCTGGCAAGGTGGCACAGGCCTGTCAGCTCAGCCCTCCAGGAGGCTGAGGCAGAACTGCAAGTTCAACAACATAGTGACACCCTCTCAAAATAAGAAAGGCATAATTCCCAAGCTCAGAGCCCAGAAAACTGGCACAGGCGTGGAGGTCCACAGGACTGAAGAGTCTCTACTGCCGCAGCAGCCCCACGCCAGGCAGCACCTCTGGGCCCTGCTATCCAGGCGGCAGGCAGTACCCACAGAGCCTCCCACCAGGCCTCAGCCTCCACCATTTGGGGACGATGGGGGTGGCCTGGGCAATAGCCTGAGTAGCACCCCAGGCACCCCAGGCAGGGAGCACCCGGATATACCCCAAACCCCAAGCCACCACACAAGGGCATGTGGGTGTGTGGTCCCAGGCTAGCAGTGCTCAGCATCACTTCCAGGGCTGTTAAGAGACAAAACACAGTGTGGAGTGCGTGGCCTGCTCTAGCAACCCGCTGGCTCTGTATGGGTTACCAGAGCCTCGAGTTTTGTTTCTTTCGTAACAGTAGGGGCTCATCCCAGCCCTTTTTCATTTTTAGTGAGGGCCTCACTAAGCTGCCTGCAGAGATGCGGCAGAGGTGCCCCTGCCTCTGCCTTCTGCAGAGGTTGCAGAGGGTTGCAGGTGTGTGTCACTCTGCCAGCTCACTGCAGTCCTCAGACGCGTGCACACTGGAGCGCCTGGGGCTGTTCTTCTGCAGCGGCCTGGCCAGCACCCCACACTTCCCTGGGCTTCAGGCCCTGGCCACTCACTGCCTCTTGGTGGTGGGGAGGAAGCCCACCATCTCCATGGCCTGCTTCAGCCGTGCGAAGTCGTGCTTCAGGTCTTCCCCATCCTCGATCTTCAAGTTATGCTGGAAAATACATGCTTTGGCTCCCTCACAGCCACTAGAGCCGAGCGGAGATAGGCTGTGGGGCAGGGGCCACCCGCAGCAGGGAACAGAGGTGGCCTGGTGGCTAGGCTGGGCCTGCTTACCTGGTTGAGGTAGAAGTAATCTTCCGGCTGCTTGAGCTGGAATTCTTGGCGCTCTTCCTCACTGACCCCGAGGAGCAAATAGTAAAACACGTGGTAGTTTCTGCAGGCAAGGTGGGAAGGGCGTCACAGCTAAGGAGGGGAGGAAGCCCTAGAAGGACTCCAAACTGCAGCGCATGTCATCTGGGCCTCGACTGCACCGACACAGCCCTGCTCAGTGACCTGGGCTGGCCCCTGCCTCCCAGTGAGCAGATGCAGGCATGGGCCAGCACCCCTGGCTGATCAGGGGAGTCTCAGTGAGCACACTTTGGGCAGACATGGGAAAGTGGCCGTGGGGAAAACGTCACAGAGCTGGAGGCCAAGGGAGCCAGCTGGGGGTGAGACTGGCCAAGTGACCCCACCCGAGGTCTCTGTGCTGCTGGGAAACCCTGGAGGCACGTACCGCTCATCCTTCTCCTGAGATACCAGGCGAGACTTTTCAAGCAGGTATTTTTCCACGACAGCTCTATCAAGGAGGAATAAAATATTTCAGTTTTTATTTTTATTTTTTGGCGGAACTGGGGCTTGAACTCAGGCCCTTGTGCTTGCCAGGCAAGCGCTTATTCTACTGAGCCATCTCCCCAGCCCTGTGTCACTATTTCTTGTGGTCAGGAGCCAGGGCTTTGAGGCACATACTCAGCCTGAACCCTGAAAGCTCTGCCCTTGACAACTAGCTCTGCTGCTGCTTTTGTAGCAGGACCTCATTTTGTCATCCAGGCTGGCCTCAAATTTATGGTCTCCTGCCTCAGCCTCTCACACGCTAGGACTGAGGGTGGCATTGCCATGCCCGGCCACGTGGTACCAAGGCGCACAGGCTGCTGTTAGCGCACATCCGTGGCATGACACAGGTGCCCAAATTCTGCCATGCCCCACCATTAGGTGGATGACAGGTGCCCAGGGCCATCCCCCGGGCGGTGGCAACAGGCCATGGCTCCCACTGGCTCCCGAGCTTTCTCTGGTCACACAGAACACCAAGTGTGCGCTCAAGGCCACAGTCTCGGTGCTGCCAGTCCTGGGTGCTGGAGCTGGGAGCTAGGTGCTCGCTCACCCTGGCCCAGTGGTACCCACCACAAGTCCAGTGCTGGCGCCAGGACGAGAAATTCACTGTCACACGCAAAAACCTGCCCTTTCTGACCCACCCCCAGCAGCGGCTCCTGACTCCCACACCGCCCTGGCCGCCCCCTCCTGCGTGGCCAAGTGACAGTCACGGTCCAGGGGGGGCCGCACCATGCTCACCCCTACAAGTGGCATTCGGGTTCTGAAGTTTCTAGTGATTCTCAAGCGCTCTGCCGAGGACACTGGCTGTGATAAGCCATGTGTCATTGCTCTTGGGAGCTTTCCAGGGCAGGCTGGACAGGGCTCCGGAGTCATGCTTGGGGAGCCACCTCTATGCTGTGTGGGGTGACAGGCCAGTCCCCATGGTGCACGGCGCTGTCACTGGAGAGAGACAGTCCAGTCTTTCTATCACTTTCAATTCCAGGGCCAAAACACAGCAGTCTCACAACCCCAGCAGGGTCACAAGTTCAAGCCCAGCCAGGATGACCTAGTGACAGGTGATCCAATCTCCAAACAACAACAAAAAAAAGGACTAGCGTAAGGGCTGGCGTGATAGCTCAGCAGGCTAAAGTGCCAGCCCCACCCTGGGGCATGCTGAGACAGCAACTGAGACTGGGCGTGGTAGCACAGGCCTGTAATACTAGCACTTGGGAGGCTGAAAACAGGAGCATCATAATGAGTCCTATCTATGTAGTGAGACCCTGTAGACCCTATACCAAATACATTAAAAAAAAAAAAAAAACTCAGCAGACTAAGTGCCTACTGAGACAAGAGCAGGGCCTGGGGTTCAATCCCCAGCGCCGCTGGCCCCGCCCCCAGGTGTGCTGAGTGCCCCTGAGAATGGGTGTGGTGGCACACACCTGTGATCCCAGAGAACAGGAGAAACACTGAATCCAGGCTGCGTAGTGAGACCCTATACCAAATACATGCATACATAAAGGGCTGGGGTGCAGCTCAGTGTGCAAGCGCACAGGCCCTGAAGTCTCCGGAGGCCCTGTGTAAAGGCACAGGAAGCTGGTGCTTCAGAGCAGGGGACAGAGGCAGGCTGGCTGGCCCTGTGCCTCAGCCCTGGTGGGGACCAGCAGGAGAAATGTCACCTGGCCCACAGCCATGGCTAAAGCACAAGCAGCGGGGCCGGCCTTCCAGACAGCCACGGCTGCAACGGACAGGACGCCCTGACCTCCAGCAAGCCAGGATGCAAACATGGGGTCACCAGAGTCCCAGGACCTTGGGGACATCACAGTGGGTTCTCCTCTGCGCCCTGGTCAAGCTGGCGGGAATGGAAGCGGCTGGGTCACCACTTGGCAGCCTTTGGCATAGGTAATGGGGTAGCCCCTACTATAGTAGACGTGGGCTGGGGCCCGCCACACCATGATGTGTGACCCTCCAGCAGTCTAGGAAGTGGCCAAGCGGGCTGCGTGCATGAGCAACATGCCGGTGGCTGTGACCAAGAGCTGCCAGGCACCACGGCAGAGAGAAGGCACAAGCCCAGCGTGGTGGTCACGCTCCTGTGACCCTGGCTACCCGGAGGCTGGGGCAGGAGAGTGCACAGCATGTCTGAGGCCAGCCCAGGCAAGCCAGTGAGACCTAGCTTTGTACCTAAAGGAGGGAAAGGTAGGCAGGAGGAAGTCTGCCCCACATGCCCGAGGCTTTCAACCTGCAGCACTGGGATGAACCTGGCCTCACTCATGCTGGGCAGGCACCTGCCCTTGAGGATACCCCAGGCCTTCTCACTTTATACTTTGAGACAGGTCTAACTAAGCTGTCTAGGCCACCTTGACTTTGAGGTCCTCCTACCTCAGCCTCCTAAGGGTACAGTTTGGATCCTGAAAGTCCCCACAGGGCCATGTAGTAAGGGCTTGTCCCTGGCTCCTGGCAGCCCAGCGAGGTGGGGGCTGAGGGGAGGCTCTTGGGTACCTAGGGAGCCTCAGAGTGCACTGGGACCTCCCTTCCTCTTCCTGTTCCTCCCTGGCCATGAGTAAGCAAGCACCTTAGCTCCCTGCAGCTTGTTTTGGTGCTGACCTGGACCTCAGACAGGAGGCTGAGGCAGAAAGATCACTCTGAGTTTAAGGCCAGCCTGGGCTACACTGGGAGATCAAAGATCTTGTTGCCAAACAAACCAACAAAGTCTTCCAGGCTCCTTCACAGTGCTAAGCTTTGTTTTGCTTTCAGCACTGGGTGCGGAGGCCAGGGCCTCCTGCAGCCTGGTCCGCACTCTCCACTGGACCCCGATGGCTCTGGGGGAGCTGTTGGGGTCTGCGGAGGCCTGCAGGGAGGAAAGGCTGGAGTTGAGGGTACCGGCAGCTCCTGTGGGTGTTGAGCAGGGGCTGGCTGCTCCTACAGCAGCACCCAGGGGGCCTCTCCTGTACCTCCCCACACCTGGAAAACCTGAGGTAAGAAGAGGTGCCCAGGGTGAGGAATCCAGGGTTAAGCCCTGTGGGGGTCATGCTGGTCCAGCAGGAGTGGCCCTGAGGCAGCTCTTGGTGTACTGCAGCCCTGTGTGTAGCCCCAGGCAGAGCACGTGTGGCCAGCAAGGGGAGGACTCGGGTGCTGGGCCTCACTCACCCGCGCACGATGCCACTCTCCAGGTAGTTGACTTGGATGAACTTGCCAAAGCGGCTGGAGTTGTTGTTGTGGGCCGTCTTGGCATTCCCGAAGGCCTGTGGGGACGGGGCAGCGTCAGCAGGGTGGATGGGCTGTGGGCAGCTGGGCTTGAGGGCAGAGCCAGGACTGCAGGGCACTGTGCTACCTAGACATCCAGCCACCCGGATACCCGCCCACCCTGACACTCAGCTACCTGCCCACCCCAATGCCCACCCACTTGGACACCCACCTCCCTAACACCCAGCCACCTGGATACCTGCCCAACCTGACACCCCTGACACCCAGCCACCTGGATACCTGCCCAACCTGACGCCTGCCCACTTGGACATCTACCTCCCCAACACCCAGCCACCTGAACACCTGCCCACTCAGACTCACCTACCCCAACACCCAGCCACCTGGACACCCGCTCACTTGGGACACCCACCTACCCCGATGCCCAGCTACCTGGACACCCGCCCACTTGGACACTCACCTCCCTAACACCCAGCCACCTGGACACCCACCTACCCCGATGCCCTGCTACTTGGACACCCGCCCACTTGGACACCCACCTCCCCCGACACCCAGCCACCTAGACACCTGCCCACTTGGACACCTACCTACCCCGATGCCCAGCCACCTGGACACTTACCCACTTGGACACACACCTACCCCGACACCCAGTCACCTGGACACCCGCCCACTTGGAAACCCACCTACCCCGACACCCAGCCACCTGCCCACCCTGACACCTGCCCTCTTGGACACCCACCTCCCCCGACACCCAGCCACCTGAACACCCACCCACTCAGACTCACCTACACCAACACCCAGCCACCTAGACATCCACTCACTGCAACACCCAGCCACCCAGACACCTAGACACCTGCCTACAACACCTGCCCACCCAGACACCCAGATAACCTGACACCAGCCACCTGGACACCCATCTACCCCAGCCAAGGCCCCATACCAAACCACCCTGGACACTACCCACCCCCAACATCAACCCACCAATGAACAAACATTAACCCACCAATGGATGACACCAATTCACAGGCTGCCAGGACAGGTGGCACCATGCAGATTCCACACAGAATGACAAGCACTGTGTGGAATCCCCTTCAGCAATCCGTGCAAGGTGGTGAGCTGCGTCACCAGGTCTGTGTACAGGCACAGCTCCCCAACGCACCACAGTGTATACCCCAAATAGTGCCCAGTCTGGAGGCCTGGGAGGTAAGCAAGTTCTGCCCCCATACTTCAGGTGGGGCTGATCAATCTACCCACCAAAGGATGCCCCACTGTCAGTATTCTGCATCTTGGCAGTGCCCATGTCCGTGTCTGTGTCCCTCTGTGTCCATGGACACCACCCAGCAAAACCCTCAGGTGCTAAAAACTCCCAGATGCATGCACAAAAATGGTGCTGAACTCGGGGCACTGCTGCAGTCACCCTGTCACCACATGGGGCTAAAGTTCATCCATTTGGGCCAGGATGTAGCTCAATAGCAGGGCACCTGCCTGGCAAGCACAAGGTCCTGTGTTTGATTCCAAGTACAAACAAAACCAAAAACAACTCACTAATTTAAAGTGCACAGTTTGGTACATCTGGCACATTCCCAGTGCCACCCAATTACCACCTTTATTCAGTCTATATTTTCAGCCCTAAATGGAGAGTGTGTCCCCAGACGCCTGCCCCGTGCTCGGCAACCTCCACACCACGTCCTGTCCCTGTGGAGGTCCACCACTTGGCACCATGGCTTTAAGGTCTGTTTGCATGTAGCACGTGTTAGAGCCTTGTTCCTTTCCGGCTGAGCCACACTGCATGCCCAGAACAACTGCATCTGGCGCCTGCTGACGGGCACTGGTTGTGTGTGCCTCTGGTCACTGCATGGTGCTGCTGGGGGCGAAGCCACTGGGTTCTTTTTTCCCCCCCATCTTTTTTTTTTTTTTTTGCTCCGAATGCCTTCAGGGCAGGTTTGGCTGGCTGGAGTTGTGGGGATCGAACTACAGCAACCTGAGGCTGACAGCTTTGTCAAAGCAGCCACTTAAAGAACTGAGCTAAGGGGCAGGCCCCCTCCCCCATCTTTTTAAGACAGGGTCTTACTATGCCATTCAGGCTCACCTCGAACTCACTTTGCAGTCCAGGCTGGTCTCAAACTTGTAACGATCCTCCTGCCTCAGCCTCTTGATTATTGGGATTACAGGTGTGCGCCACCATGTACAGCGAATATCTCCCTTTTTTTTTAAATTTTGTGTTTGGTACCAAGAATCTTAGGAACTTCAGACCTCACACTTGCCAGGCAGGAGCCTGTGCCACTGAGCTATATCCCCAGTCCTGCTATGCGGGTTCTGTTTGGGCAGATTTTCATCTTTCTGGACTACCAAAAACCGAAAGGCAGGGTCATTATTGTGACTGCATGCTGGACGGTTGCAGGGCGCGCATGCACTCTCGCCAGCGCTGCTGTGGGCTTCCCAATCCCCACTGCCCCCAGTCCTTTCCTGCTCCGCTCTACACTGTTTAGTTTCTGGGCTGGAGGCTCCAACATGACCCAGGCTGGCCCCCCGCTCCTGGAGCGAGCCATCTTCATGCCCAGCCGTCTAGGCTGCTGGGACAGGTGGCACCATGCAGATTCCACACAGAATGACAAGCACTGTGTGGAATCCCCTTCAGCAATCCGTACAAGGTGGTGAGCCGTGTCGCTGGGTCTGTGTGCAGGCACAGCTCCCCAACGCACCACACTGTGTACCCCAAATAGTGCCTAGTCTGGAGGCCTGGGAAGTAAGCAAGTTCTGCCCCCACACTTCAGGTGGAGCTGATCAACCTTCACTGGGAGTTGAGGCTCTGGGGAAGTTAGGTCCTAAAGGAGATTTATTTTTATTTTTAAAGTGTTGCCGCTGGGATGAGCCCCAGGGCGCGCATGCTGAGCTACAGCCCCAGCCAAGTCTAAGCTGGGAAGCCTGGAGCTGGGTGGTGGCACACGCCTGTAATCGCAGCACTCTGGAGACTGAGGTAGAAGGATCACTGTAGGTCTGAGCCCAGCCTGTGCTACACAGTGAGTTCAAGGCCTGAACTACACAGTGGGAACCTGTCTCAAGAAAACAATAGAAAAGAAACAGGGCCAGGGATGTAGCTTAGCTGCGTAAGTGCCTGCCTGGCAAGTGCCAGGTCTGGAGTTGGGACCCCAGTACCAATAATAAGGCAGAGGGAAAGGTGAGCTCATGTGAGGCTCTGCACAGTGCCACGCTGCCTGTTGAGCCTCAGCCCAGCCCAGGCCCTGCAGAACCAAGTGCTGGCTGGGCTCAGGGTGGCTGCTTACAGCCCAGGGTAGATTCTGCAGCAGGCGGGAGGCAGGACAGCAAGCTGTCTTCCAGGCAGTCTCCAGTTCCGGAGCTGCCTCCCAGTTGCCCTGAGGACCCTAGAGGTCTGAGCCCTGGGCAGAGCCACACCCAACACCCCCAGGCAGGCAGATGGCCAGGATGTCTGGCCCCAGGGGGGTCCCCACAGGGGGCATCTGTAGCCTGGGTAGACCTCTGCCTGGGGACAGGCATGGAAGGGGCCTCAAAACACCCTCAAAACACCCCCACGTGATGAGTGGTCTCCTGGGTCTGCCTGGTCTCCTCACCCACCAAAAGCAGGGACAGCCGGGCCAGCATCTGCGCATGTGTCCTGGGCTCCTGCCCCTCCTGGGTCCCCCTGGCCAGGGGCCGAGACTCCCAGCCGCGGAGCTGCTCGGTGACCTCATGTGTCTGGTATGCGCTGTACACACTGGGCTCTCACAGCCGCTAAAAATATCGAGCTGGCCTTCGCCTTCACTGGTGACAGGATGGTGACAGGACTGCGGGAAACACGGCCAGGCAGTGCCATTGTGCGCATGGCTGGGGAATCACGAAGCGAGAGGAACACACTCCACTGGCCGGGAGAGAAGAAAAGTGACCCGGGTGGTGCTGCAGTAGGAGTCTCTGGCCTGCAGACCCAGAGGCCACAAGAGCAGGCCACTGTCCTGGGCCAGAGAGCTCAGCCCTGCGGCTGTGAACAGGGAACTCGCTGCTCTCCAGGAATCTTTCCCCTTGGCCAGCGTGAAGGAGGACGCTGAGATCCAGTGTACTTCAGGAAACAGTGAGACCTCACACCCAGCTCGAGGGCATGCACTGCCATTCCAGCTGCCCAGAAAGTTGAGGCAGGAGCATAGTAATTCCAAGGCCAGCCTGGACAACTCAATGACACCCTGTCTCAAAATAAAATAAAAATGGGGCTACCAGGTGGGGTGGCACACTCCCTGTCACCCTAGCACTCCGGGAGGCTGAGGCCAGAGGACTACATGTTTGAACTGAGCCTGGACAACTCAGAGAATAAGCAAGAGCCTGGCTCAAAATGAAGTAAAAGGGCCGACAGTGCAGCTCAGGGTGAAGGTCCTGGCTTTACTCCCAGTGCCACAAAACTGACACTGTGCTTGCATGACAAAACTGGTTCAACACCGAGCTCCATAAAAAGACAAAAAAAAAAAAAAAAAAAATCGATGTTCATCACCCCCCTTGTGGGTCCATCCAAAGGCAACGTCGGGTACTGCAGGGGTCGCCAACAGCTCGTGTTCCCACAGCACCACAGGCAACAGCAAGAGAGGGAAGGGGCCTGCCCAAGACAATGGGCATGCACAGCAGAATAGTGTGCAGTCGGTAAAAAGGATGGGGTCCTATCCTCCTGCAATGTAGATGGCACTGGGAGGACACGGGGCCAAGTGCAGCAAACCAGACGCCACACGATCTCACTGAGGGGGAAGTGGAGACATAAAGAGCTGCATATAAGCGGAGAGAACAGTGACCTCCAAGAGCGGGTGGCTGGGGTGAGAGATGCTGAGCAAAGGGCAGATGAGGGAGGGGCTCAGGTGACCATGGCAAGACGCACGCATGCCGGAGCCCCCAGAGGACCTGCAGTGCATGAAGGCACGGCTCTCCGTCTTCTGTGTCCTCCAGGCCACAGGCAGGAGCCAGGGCTTGGGAGCCAGGGTGGGGCGCACACCGCAAGGGAGACCTCTGAGGGGCAAACGACTCTGGCCACCCACAGGTCAAGAGGCGC